ACCAACGATGTTTCGGTGGGTGGTCATCCTCACTGATCTCAAAATATTTGGCGGACTGTCATGATTATAGCGAACACTGATCTAATTTAAAGTTTGCATTATAACGACTGCATGACGACAGCGAAATAGCAAACATTTCTTGATTTGATGATTGATAAATTTCTTGCAAATATATTTCATTTTTGCTCCCATTTTTGCAAGATTTTGTAAATTTCAAAAGCTCTCAGAAAGAAACGCCAAAAGAATCGGCTAAAAGAAGGGAGCCGACGTTAACGAAGGTAAGTTTGTTTTAAATATTGATTTTTTAATGGTTTTAAAACCCGACGGCTTTTGCGTATATGAAACAACTAAACAAGACAGTATATAATTTCAGACAGTGTATCTTTAATATTGATTCCCTTTTTTATTATATTGAATTTTTAAATAAAAAAGAAAGCAAAGTTATTTGCATGCGAGAATTTGAAATCATTTTATTGCAAACTCAAAGTTTATCGATAAAGCCATTTAATTAATAAACGCAGTTTGGTTAGTTTTATAAAGAACACTTTAAAACATTTTGCGAAGCGTTTGTGGTTGAATTTTACCTTAAATTGAAGCTTATATTACGTATAATAACATACCTAACATATATATGTTGGTAAATTGATAATTTTGTAATTAAAAGTGATACTACTGATTTTTAGGCAATGTTTCATTTGTAAGAATATTCTTAAAAATTATCGTGTTACCATGACAACTACTTTAGATACTTCATGTTCGGAATTTGCAATGGTTTTGTGCGCAAGGCGAGGGTTGCTGCATGCATGTATTTTCTAGTTTTAAATTATTTAGTTTTTATGTGATCACTTTACTTTGTAATTCAGAACTTTTACTGTAAATTTTGTGACGATTAAAACCGTGTACATATGTAATATCTATTTAAAGGTGATCTACAGTCCGATCTGCGCATGTGCACAAATGAGCCCACTTTTTATGATACAAACAGTTTAACTATGTTTTGAATTCTTGAAAAGCCTGATTGTTGTTTCTTGATCATTTATTATACTCTAGAAGCTTGAAAATATAAATAGTTGTCGAATAAAGCTCAATATTTTGGACACAAAAATGTAAACAAAGGCTTTGTTTACATACGGACTGTAGATCACCTTTAATTATGCATCAAAATCTGACAAAAAATTCTTACCTGAGCCACACTGAATAAACACGCCAGTCTTTCGTAACACATGTAGGGAGTCATATTTTCCCAACCCTCTTTCACCCTTGGGCCAACTTTTTTTATTTTTGTTACCGTGCTGTGACAAAACAGGTGGAACTCTGCATCTTATACTAGCTCCTCTTGTCCATCCTAAACCAAGTTTCCCGCGATGGAATGGGCATATTGTCATGTCGTTTATATCCTGTGGTATCTTAAATATCGCAGCTCGAGACAAGATCAAATCTACCTCATTTTCCGGTCCAGAAAACGCCAATGATCCCAAATGTTTTGCTATATCTCTTGAACAGGAAACTAGTGGAATGGCTGTCACTACTTCTTTTTTATCTCGGCTATCTGAACCACATATTCCCCCAATTATCGTCTTAAACGAACAACAAACCTCCATATCGCACTAAAGTACTGAACTTTATTTGATTATGCTGTAAAGTTGGGCATTAAAAAGATGAAAAGGCAAAATATGGCAGATTATTATAAATTTCGCAACTTGTAATCAAACCCCGCCCAGTATTCTAAATTTAGAAATGTAATAAGTAATATGCAGTATTTACAATCAAAACAAAACATGGGAAGCGCGCTTTGAAATATTAAAGTGACCTGAAATTTACAACAATTGTATTAAAATGTGTGATATGCCATACAACGAACAAGATATCACGTAATAAAGCGAATAAATAATTAAACATCGTACGGAATAACGGATGTCAAATATATTTACAAAATTTGGCCTCTTGTGCATGCAGACACGGCAGCTTGGTCGAATCGGTAAACAAATAAACCACATCGATGTATATTGAAAAACACTCATGAACATCTGGGTTTAGCAGTTTAACAGGTAAGAATCCTTAACAAAATGCATCATTTAAGGTTTTTAATGTGTTTTAGCTTCGTTTATGAGTTCATAATCCACACATAAACACTAGCATCTTGTATTTTGTTGAACGCCGCCAAATTAAATTAAATGCCAGAAATGAGTAAATTTGACCAAAATTTGAGGAGCTACCACGTGAACGAAAATCGTTTGCCCAAAGATGTTTTTATACCATTAGAAAGATAAACATATAAGTAATCGAGCATGGACGTTTCAAGCGACTGACAAGTTAAGCAGTTTTAAAATTCATATTTTTGTACGACATACTTTGAACGACTCGAAAGATATGTCTAGCGAATATAATTATATTGTTGTGTTATAACTGAACAATTGATCTTAAAGTCACACATGTTGTGCACAATGGAATATTTTCAAATTATTTGGGGTGTTTGAACCTCTAGCGTTTCTTATTTTTCGACCATCTGCCGCGAAAGTTGAGTAATAATTAACTGTTGTAATCGGCGTTTTTTGGTAGTGTTTGATAATTTAAATTTTCTCCGTTATAAAGCGATATTTGATCAAACCAACTATAAGGCAATTCTTGGGACACATTACCCTCGCTAACTTGAAAGTATAAGGGAAATCGATTTTTCAAGGTTTGCCGCGGATTTCAAATTTTGCGTGATGGTTACAGGCAGTCACTCTTAACTTTGGATATTGCAACTGAACTGTTCGGTTTAAACCACAAAACAGACTATACACGACTTCATGGCAGTATTCTTTACCATTTCCCTTCCGTACTTCTTGCGTTAATCGGCTAAACCAGTGATTAATTTCGTCAACTCTCATCTCCTGCAAATCTGGCACACGCTTGAATACTTCACTCTCGGCTTCAAAATCACGAAACTCGGTATTTCTTGACTTTGCCCATGCTTTATAAACATTCGTGCTCCACCTAGTGTGTTTGATAGTATTCTCAGACGTTCTGTTATCTCTAACTTTCTGAACATCGGCTTCCATAACAAACCAGAAACGTTTATCCGCCATATCATTCTTAGTGACTAGTGAGCGTCCAAAAACAAGAGTTGAGTTAAAAAGTAACTCATTTTATATGCATGCATGCACATGACACACGTATATTAAGAATTCTTTATTCGCAAACGAATTTCTGACAATGGAAAATTGTTGTATACATCACTGATCATGCATTGTATTACACAATACTCGTACTATCAATTAAATTTGTACAATGAAAACACTAGCCTCACCTCGGTCATCATGGTATTACAAACTAATACCATGGTTTTTAAGAATATAGTGATTAAATCTCCCGCGAATCGAGGAGGTTTGTGAAAGTCCCTCGGGACACCTTCGGGCTTCGCCCTCAGGCTTTCCCTCGGGACTTTCAAAAACCTCCCTTGGTTTGCGGGAGATTTAATCACTATATTCTTAAAAACCTTGGTATTACGTATAATAACGTAATATCCTTATTTGCTTGCTGAAAACAAAATTCCTTGCCGTTTCCTAGTAAATTTTATTTCTTTTTGCAAAGAAATTTCCTTGCAAGTGGAAGCACTGCATGGGATGACCAATGGGGATGACGCTGTACGCAATAGTTGAAGCCTCCTCCTTTTCTCACCCTCCGCCCCTCACCCCCTTCCATTATTAATGATTGCTCCCTTATCTGTGTAAATGTAAAATACGGTTCTATTTTATTTCATTTTGCTAAGTAGGAAAATTCAGTATGTTTAATTTAAATAGACTATTTTATACATATCTGCAAATTGTAATCCTGAATTCCTGTAAATGTAAAATAGGATTAAAATAGTGTATTTTATTCTATTTTGCAAATAAGGGAAAGTAAATAGGTTTAAAATAGTATATTTTATCCCTATTTGAAAAATGTGGCATTTTTAAAATGTGAAATAGGTTTAAAATTGTCTATTTTATTCTGTTTTACGTATTCTGAAAGATAAATAGCTTTAAAACACTATATTTTATATCTATTTTAATTGATGTAATTTTCTGCACGTGCAAAATATGTTTAAAATAGTCTATTTTATTGTTATTTTACTAACTATGAAGGAAAGATAGGATTAAAATAGTATATTTTATTCCTGTTTGAAATTTGTGCATTTAACTTGCAATGTAAAATAGGATTTAAACAGCCTATTTTATTTTATGAGTTTAAAAATAGTATATTTTATATCTATTTTAATTTCTAACTGCTTTTTAGTGTAGTAAAATAGAATTTAAATAGGCTATTTTAAACCTATTTTTTCCCTGAAGCTCTGGAAAATAGTATTAAAATATGCGATTTTATTTCTATTATCTATAAAAATAGGAATAAAATAAAATAAAACATTAATAAAATATGGCTCTTTCTTTTGGTGAAATATTATGATAGAATTAAAATAGGGTTGCTTCTGAATAAAATAGCATAAAAATAGGGGTGATAGTAACAAAATAGTTTTAAAATAGCAATATAATATAGTTATTTTCGCAAGGGATTAGCTACATGACATTCCTCACTGCCTAAACTAGTGGACCTGACAGAGCCCAACCTAGCAAAATCTGAACTGCAACTGGCTCATCTGTCTTCCCTCTAACTGTACTACATGTCTGAAATTGCCATAGATAGTCTGCCCCTATCAAGATATCTACATCTAACTCTTCAGCCCATCTATTCACGTCAGAAAACCATATACTTTTTAAGTGTGAATACTGGTGTTTTATAATTTCAACATGCTTGTTCCTGACATGCAAAATTTCAGGTACAACAAAGGCTTCAATTTGCAAAGATTGCCCTCCCCTCATGGGAAGTAGCTCTACTGAAACAACAACATGCAACCGCGCTCTCTGCTGCATTGATTTCCAAATGATTTTACCATAAACCACTCGTTCCTAACTGGTGGTAAACCTAAAGACTTAGCTGTTTTACTGGTTACAAACGAATTTTGACTTGCAGACTTTGACTTACTCTAGCCTTCCCCTCTCTTGGCGATTGGTCTGATATTCCTCTCTTAGTTCAATTTCTTTCTCCAAGGCAGTTACTACATCGTTCACACTCCAGTCACTGTGAAGTTTGTCACAAGTTATAGTCAAACATACAACTTCAGGCATCTTTTCCAGAATAGCAGGTACAACAATGTCAGAATAGGTTGCCTCGTCCACACCAAGAGCTTCCAGTCCACAATAATGTGTTTCTATCTTGTCAAATAATACTCGTAAACGCCCACAATCTCTCGCACTATACACCGGTTGTGCATTCAATAATTCATGTATATGGGTTCGTTTAATCAATGTATTTTTACTGCAGACTTGCAGTTCGCTGATGTTAATGAAAACCCCGCAATCGCAGATTTTGCCTGTCCCGTCAACAGGGCTCTAAGGTAATTAAATTTGTTGACATTCAATAAACTTTCATTGCGGTGGATCGCACTTTCGAAGCCGTACCAGAACTTTTGCCAGTCTTTAATTTTGCTGTGAAACTTCTTCACCTCGAGCTTGGGAAGTTTCGCTCTAACCGTATGAGCATGTACTGGCTGTAGACTTGGGGTTGAGGAATCAACTATCGACTCTACTGGGGTGTTTGGTTGCACAGTTTCAACATCGGGGTTCTTGTGTACATTTGTGTTCACCACTGCCCCGCCGCATTTCTACATAATTCCTCAATCATAGCAATGGTAGTCTTTCCAACATGAAGCTTTTCTCCACTTCTGTCGCCATTGCCTCCTCGTCCGTCATGTCATTGTCCTCCATTAGCATCAAAATCTTCTTATCTAAGGGCTCTAGGAGCAGCAGTTGTTCGTTGCCTTTACTTCTTGCTCTGGTTGAAACTCTACTGCGATCTGATTCGCCTCAGGTAGAATTTTGCCACAAACGCTTGGTGGCCACTTCTCGTCTTTTTTCAGTGGATCAGTCATACTCTATCCGGCTCGAAGGACCACATGTTATAAATTTTCCTCGTGAAATTTTTTCTGTTGCTGGTTCTCGAATATAATGGGACTGTATGCTTTCGGTTTTCACAAATTTTATTCTATTATCATTCGTTACATATGACTGATCACTGCTATTGATATACAGTGCAAACCACGATATTAGTTTTGTAATAGTTTTTTGGTACTCTTTTAAGTAAACCGCATAATTAAAAAAAATGTGGAATCTATCTGTATAAGCACAAAGTCTCACACAGACATATATCATTACTTTTATACTTTGTGAAATTTTATAAGCATTTTAAAGTTTCTATTGATATATTGTTTGGCTGTTTCTGTGAGTTTAACTATAGTGCGAGGCAGCGAGGCACAATGCAAGGCATGATGCGAGGCAGCGAGGCATGATGAAAGTAACTAACACGTTTGAAGTGCCTACGAAACCCAAAATTTAATGAAAATGAAAAAAATGATAATGAAAAAATACATTACAGCCTTAGGCGGTGGAACTTTAGTTAACTTATCTTCAGGCCGAACCGGTGGTACTGTCTGAATTCTACAGTATATTCCTATTGTATATTCTGTAGGACATTATATGGACTAAACGTTTTTGACTAGCCTTAAACAATTTCTAGATTTTTTTATTGAAGATCCCATTAGTTCAAATGTTAATGTTGCCTCTGACAATACATTTACTCAAGATTGAGGTTTTTTCTATCTTCTGCAGTAACCATGGAGTCGAATTCAACGAGTTACAAGGCATTGTGCCGAAGCAACTTAATTTCGGACAGAAAAAGAATGTGTGTGTTATCCATTTACGCAGTATGCCGGTTCTATACGGACCTTTGGTCGTTGTCTGTACGTGTCCCGAACACAAAGTTTTTTTACATGTAGCACATTTTACATCTTGGTTTGAATGGCATATGTTTACAAAGTAGCGTTGTTCATCTTTGGACACGGGCAGTTGTGCTAGTGGAACTTTGTCAGGGAATGCCTGTACAATTTTTGACCATTCATTGGTTGAAAAATGCTTCTTATAAATTAATGCTTCTGTTTTGTCGAAGTAAAAAATCTTATGTAAGATCCAAGTCCGATGATGGCACATGTCAGTACATAATACAGGTGAGGAACAAGTGACGGAGTCCTTAGAAATTTTTAAATCCTGTATGTATCCCATTGTATCAAGCAGTTTGAAGTTAAATTGAGATACATGGCTTTTAAGGTCAACAATATCCATTGTGACGTCCTTGACGTATTTCTCGAAAAATTTCAACTTTGTTTTGCTTACAGAATTATTCCTGCTTTTTACAGAATATACAATAGAATATACTGTAGAATTCATAAGGTGCCGGTTCAGCCTAAAGATAAGTTAACTAAAGTTCCACCGCCTAAGGCTGTAATGTATTTTTTCATTCTCATTTTTTTCATTTTCATTAAATTTTGGGTTTTGTAGGCACTTTAAACGTGTTACTATGCCTCGCACGATGCGTCGCTGCCTCGCATGCCTCGCTGTTTCTGCTGCCCCTGTTTCTGTCTAGTGCGGCATAGTTGGATGCTAAGTGTAAAGGCGATACTTATCGATTTGTCTCACAGCTCTGTGTGGTTATTTTAAAAATACAAGCTGGATCTCATGTTAGTCCATGATCAAGCTACAAAGATCAAGCTACAAAGCTACTGTCAATGAAAGCTCTTTATAATATTTTTAATGTGCCTGGTGTATTACTGTGATTATTTAGTTTTGTGTGCAATTTAAATATTCAAATTGTTCTGCACACAACGGAGGAGTCTTTGCCTTTACCTGCATCAGATGACTTTATCATATGTTTGATAACAGAGAGCTATACCTTGACATAATTCTTGATCATAGAGTCTCAGCAATGCCAAAACAGTATATATATAACAGCATTTGACAGGCTTATAATTTCACAGTCGGGAGAGCAGTGTTTAGAATTTATACACAGTTGGCGGAATCACAAGATCTTACTATTTTATAACAATTCCACGTCTCCATAAGGTAAATCTGTTGGGTTTACATATGGGACAGGACATAGACTTCAATACTTAGAACAGAAAGATTTTTACAGCAAACTAAGCGTGCTTTCGTTGCCAAGCCTTGATTTCCACTGAAATCTGATCCTAACGTAACCCAACACTCAATGATATAGAGGAAGACATGTGATAATAAATACGAAATATTTCAGGATTTCTTGTTGCAAATTTAAATTTTATCGCCCGAAACTATAACACAAAAGTTGTAATTTTCCAAGCGAAACAAGCGCACTCCTCTACCACCCCTCCCTAAGTACAATTTCAATTTAGCACCCAGAATCTGGGAGCCACATGACCAGCTATTGCTAGGGTCTTTCCATCAGTCAGGAGCATTGTGGAAAGAGCCTGGGTATGAGGTTGTGTGTATCGCTGCATGAATTCTGATCAAAATTTTCCTTTACAATTACTTTATTGGGAATAAAGAATTGCATAAAATTATATTATTACACGAAACTCTTCAAAATGACATGTTCTTTATAAAAGGACGAACTATTGTGTTCACACTGTTTTTAACAAGGGAATTTCAATATAAAATTGTCTTGATGAAGAAATTAAAAATAAAAAATCATATTTTATTATCGTTGACAAAGTGAAAAGTGGTGAATTCCACAGCAGTTCCAAAGGTCGACGAACTGGAATTTCAATATCAAGGGGAAAAAACAGTATGAACATCCTTAAGCATGTAGATCAAGCACTTGTCAGTCAAGATATTATGGGGTAAATATCTGCAGAACTATCCCAAGATAGGCAAATTCTTGAGGAACATAGTAAAGGATGAAAAACATATCAACCAGACTATGAAAAAGGGCAAGCAGCTCAAAAATGAGAAAGCAGCTGAAGTGGTATGGTTCAAACTGAAAAAGTATATATGCACTCCAAAAAGGCGCCGTTTTTGGCAGCTAATCGGGGCAAAATACAAGAGCTCCAAAATATAACAGCCAGTCTTCACATGACAACCACATGAGTGCTATGACATGTTTTTGTTGCTTCAAGCCAGGTCACCTCGGGCAAGAGACTTTGTTCAGCAAACTCCCAATAATTTGTCATCACTAGTACAACCCTAGCTAACCACAACAATAACTGAGGAAGCTTGTGGTAAATAACCAGAAGCAACATTTGACTGTTTTAGTTCTGATTGTGCAAGAACCTAAAATTCTGACCAGATATTGGGGCCAGTCAATGGATTTTAGATTATCGGTAGTTGATGTACAACCTAACCCAAGAGTTTGTAGTCCTCTCAGCATAGCAAAGAATGCTTCAGGAAAACTTAGACTTATTTCTTGGACTTGTGGTATAGTAATGAGCATCTCAGGGTTCTGAATTGTGAAGATATTAGAACTGCCAGTGACCTTTCTAGCAAGCATTTGTAGCTTCTGCTCCATATGTATTTACAAAGATCCAGAAAACCCTTGTGAAACACTGACAAAAGCAGGGAATTTGTGTTTTTGTTCATACTTCATGAATTTTTTTTATTTGTTCATACTTGGACAATGGCTCGAGGCTGAGAATAACCACAAGGATGTGCAAGAAACATCACTTCAACTCAGACTGAACATCCAGTGGTAGCTGAAAAGTGTTTGTGGAAGGCAGCCTAGGAATTCCACTTTCAGCGGAGTATTTGCTGCAGGTTCAGCATCTAGCAGCTCAATTGCAGACGGTGTTCCCCAATACCAGATATGGGCACTGAAATTAGAATTTTTGATGCACATTGTTTATTTAATAACACTTGGAGTTTAATGGCTATAGACATCAAGGTATAACCAGGGGTGGAAAAAGTATCGGACCATTGGTCCCAGAAAATTTTTGAGTTCCCAGAAAATATTTCCCCAAGAAAGAAAAAAAAAGATAATTGTAAAAATTTAATAGAAAAAAGGAGAAATTCGGAAGAAAAATTCTAATAATAGAAAGAATGCTATCTGTATTGTAGCTATGACCTCAGAAATGCAATTATGAGTGCGTCTATCTTAATAGTGCAAAAGTGTGTAAATGTATTATGCATTTTTTGCCAATCTGGAACAGCTAATTTTCAAAATTTTATGGGGAGCATGGATCCCCCTTGGTAGTGCCCCCTAGTACTGTCTTTTTAGCATCTTTATTCACCGTACGATCAGACCCTTCATCAAATGGCATAGCCAGCGGTCTTGCTCAGCAGGACCAAAACTTTCAACAAAATAGAGAAATGATTGTCCACGTTTCAAACTGTCCAATCTTTCAAAGTATCCAATCTTGAACTTTTAGAAAGTCATTGTAATTTTTCTAGTCTTATTCAATATTTTTATTTTCTGCTTTCTATTATAATCATTTACACAATTTTACAGCCCTGTTACCTAGCAACTGCAACTCTGCAACAGCTCATTTCCAGGTAATACATTGATTTACACGCGGTGTGTGTCACTACTGCTATCTGCCAAAGGCAAGAGTTGCTACAATATTTAGTACAAGAAACCCTGGTTTCTGATTGGATAATTAGCCCTCCACATGCTCAAAACGGCTGTTTTCCAAAGTCGAACTCCTGCTATCTCAAGAAAGCAGAAGTTGGAGTTGTATATCTTTTCTAGCATCTTTCTGCGTTACAAATTATGAGCGTATTATTTACTGCCAGATCATGAGTTCTTTGTCTGCTTTATGCATTGAAACAGGAGCGCTTATATCGAGTAAAAAATTATATACCAATTTAGACTTACAAAGTGTATCAGTAAGCCACAGCAATTTTATTAATACCGTAGCCGTGTAAGCGTACAGATTTGCACCCAGAGTGCACCCAAGCATAGTGGTCTGTGGTCGGTAGTTGATACCGGTAACACTATTATAGGTAACAGAATGCTAGGTGTAGCTTTCTAGTGTAAATGACTGTTACAGCACTGCACCATTATCAGTGAGAATCTGAGTTTGTTAGAGCACTGCACCAGAATCGCAGGGATGGCCATAGTTGCATTTTTCACAACTCTTCCTGGTTAGGTTTAATAAATGTATATAAATTTCCACTCAATAATTCACATCTACAAGACCCTTCAACTATTATTCAATTGAGTGAAATCACTGAGATGCCAACAAAATCTTGGTATTCAACAGATACACTGGAACAATTGTTGACCTTATGCAATTCGAAGTGAAAGATCATATTAAAGAAGCATATTGAATTGTATACATGATATTTTCCAGTTTTGCCACTTATTATATTTAGCTAAATTTTCAGTTAAGTTGAAAAATATATGGTGAAATATAATTAAAATGCACAGAAATATGATTTCAAAAAGTTACAAAAATTTTTCTAATTTTCCTCTAAGGGAAGCCTCACATATCAATTTTGTCCCCGAGAAACATCATATGTTCGTTTGGGGTGGGGGGGGTTGCTGCTTTGACGTTTCTCTGTAAAACATCATGAAAAAATTCGATACTTTTCTCGAAAAACAAAACAACTTGATACAAATATGAGTCTATACATTCGTAATATCATACCTGTTCTATACATTTATATTATTACGCCTTCCTTCCATTGCAAAAACTCCAATTTCAAGGGGGGGAAATCGAAAAACATGCTAAAATGAGTGTCAATATTTTATGCAACAAACATTGTTTTGAGAGTTGATGTGTATCAATAAAAAACATATATATGTCAGCAGAAAGATAACATATTTCTCACCGAAGCATTGCCAATAGCCGACTGTAGAAAATAGTAGAAAAGTAACTTATGTGTACTATAAGAACAAAATATCAATAACTATGTGTGACATTTCTAGGTGGTGGTGGGGGTCTCCTTGACATTTCTCGATATGCGAGGCTTCCCTAACCACACAAATTTTGTTGTTCCCTTTGGATATATCTGTACAATCGCAGGAAATAGCCATTCCAGACATCTAAAATTCACAATTCAGTTTGACAACACCACACAGTTACAGTGCGAGTGTCAAGATACTTGATTATTTGCAGAAAATTTTCAATGTTCTCTTGCGGTCCCAGAAAGCAAAATATTTTTTCCACCCCTGGGTATAACTGTTATGCTACTTGTACTGTACAATGGGATGTTACCTAGTAGATAGTACAGCCACATGGTACAGGTACCTATTTGGAGAACAGGTACTGTATAATGAAGATTGTCCAGTAGATGACCCTAGTTAAAGTACACCTGTTATGACATTTCTGCTGGGTAGTCAAGGAATACTTTCTAACCTATTGCTGCATGGTAACGCAATGTAACAGCAAAAGTACGGCCAGTGTATGCGCACATGTGCAGTAAAGTATTGCAAACCAATAATGGCAGAGTTGCAAAACCTGTTCAAATTTCCTCCGGGGAAAATTCAAAGTTTTCAAACCTTCCTCAAAATAAACTGAATAAATACTAAAATATGGCTTCATCGAATAGCAATATTCTAGAGCAAATAAACTTAACTGATTCTGAAAGCATAAAGTTTGAAAGAGACGTATTGTTAAATGCAGTACGTGATTCTAATACATCATATGCCGTAATAGATTTACACTTTCAACAGTGCTTACCTACCACAGCTACATCCTATATGATATATTGAATAGAAAAGAATATAAAAAAATACAGTCATACACTCAACAGTCAAGATAATCTTTAAAATGTGATGGTTTCTGAATCTGTAATAAAAAGCACAACAGTATACACACGTAAAAATTTTGACAAAATGAACAACTTGTTCCCGGGTGATATTGACAGGTGGGAACAAGGTTGTGTTGCCCACTATGAACAAGTTGTAAACAAAACTGTTGGCAACTTGTTCATAGTGGGCAACACAACCTTCCTGACGATATCAACTGACGTTTTTCATTTTATGCCTGTACACATATTATATAGAGGTCAGAAGTAAAACCATGGCAATTGTAACTGTGGGCTCATTTCATAATTTAGAACCCAGACTCTGCACGGACAGTTTTGGCGCGAAACTAATTCATTATATGCGAACGTTCATAGAGTTTAACTTTAGAGACTTGCGATTTTTTGATATTCTATTTCACATCTGTGTGTATTTATAGTAGACGTAATTCGTTTTACGTCAAGTGATTCAAGTTTAAGGTGGCTCGATATAGTTATCACAAAAACCCTGCTCACTAATAGTCGCGAACTCAAAACCGGGTGATCATTTTTACGCGCAGGTCGTGGAAACTGATTAACAAAATGAAAGAACTTCTAAAATGACCTGACAGTTGCTCGCGCCATATCACATCATTGCGTGTGTTCTATAGTGTTTTATGTCAATTGCTGACGTCATTAGAATTTTTCATTATAGAAAAACAATACGCTATATCTCTTTATTTTGTCTGGTGACCTATGTTCAAATTTTGCATGCTGTATTGCACCGCTAAAAACTTTCATTATACAAAAAATAAAAAAAATTCTGTAATGCCAAAAAAATTTTACAGAAGAATATGACATTTTCGCATTTTCAAAAAAAATGGCATTACAGAATTTTTTTATATTTTGCTAAATGTTAGCTTTTCGTCGAAGTAACATAATGCACGAAAAAAAATTGGGGGTCACCATGCTTTTTTTCCAACTATGCGAGACGATAGGCCATTTTGGAGTGAATTTCGTACACGTATGTCGTCATAGCAACGAACTATCTGTTACTAAAACTTATATAATTTAAAAGTTGAGATATCAAAATATATAAAAACCTCAATATCTGCTGAATAAATCCTAAAATGCATAGTTTGAACATGTCAAAGTGTTGAACACCTGAATTTTTGAAAACTGTATCAAGCCACCTTAATATAAAAGATTATTATTGTCAGTTCAAAATATAAACGAATTAATCCTGACAATTGCATATAATACATGCAGATTGCGAACGTCAGGAGCTACAGTAAAACGAAATCATCTGCAGAAAGAACTCAAGGCTTTGCTGTATCTTGTTTGAAGGTTTGAAGTCATTGGATTGTTTACGTACCTTTATATATCTAGCGAACTGTCTTTGATACTTCATAGTTTTCTGAAATAAACAAGGCGTACGGCGCCATCTTGGACGCTGTCGGGATATAATCAGAAACGAATGGGAAAGCATTCGTAAACATTGCATAATAGCGAAATGAGTAACGAAAATACGGAAATTTGTTGCAAAAGTTTATGCGAAAATGCTGAAATCGTCGAAGGAGCAAAAAATACCGACAAAACGGAAGATTTACAGAAATTACCACCAGATCGCGACGTGGTCATGCGTTTACAAGATCAATTTCACATTGCTTCTAAAATTTGGAGGAAAGAAATGAATGACTTGAGGTATAAACTCGTAATGAGAGGAACATCAGCTCACTCGAACTTGGGTCTCAAGCCTTGTCGGCATGCATGAAAGAACTAACATCGGCTCAAGATGCACTTGACAATACCTTGGAATCAGCTGTAGAAAGAATGACCTTATTCACTAAATTTGAGAACACAAGTCATGAGACGAACGCCATTCTCAAGGAAGTTAACGAGGTAATTTACGAATTAAAGATGGTTAATGATGATCGGTCATCGGTTACTTCTTCCAGACGAAGTAAAAAATCCTCAAGAAGTAAGTCCTCTCGTTCAACCACAGCAAGCACAACTTCAACGGCGCAACAACGTCGACTCAACTTAGAAGAAGAATTAGCCACTTTAAAGGCCAAGATGCATATGGCTGGAGGGAAGGAAGAGTTAGACGAAGCCAATCGAAAGGCTTTAGAAAACCTTGACGAGTTAAGGCTTCAACTTCAGAAAGAAGAAACGAGAGTGAAGGAAGAAATACAGAACGCCACGAAGAGATTCCAAATTGCAGAAGAACTAGCAGAAAAGAAGGCAAGAATCGAAGAAGAGTTCGCACCACTACCTTTGGCAGACAGCGATGAGGCAAGTTGTGCCCAAGAACGCCTCGCAAGATTTCTAGGGCTCCAACCGGACATGCCAAATGCTGATAACTATGTACGGGAAAACACAACTGCTGCCGAGTCCACGCCACCAAAGGACCCAAAATTAATGCCAGAGTTATGCCCATTAAATCCGTCTACTCCTGAATTTGTCCCTAATGCTGTGCCTTCCATCCCCACAAACCAGCAGGACACTATACCTCCCGTGATTGAGAAAATTGTAACCAACCCTGTCCCCAACGAACCTAGCCTTTTTCATGCTCAACTTGACGTAATTTCAAAATTATTAGAAGTTCAGAATCAAAATCGTCTACCATTGCCCGAACCTGGAATCTTCAATGGCGATCCCCTCCAATTTCCAATTTGGCTAAAGGCATTTGAGACACTGATCGAAGGTCGAGCAATAAATCCTGCAGAAAGACTCCACTTCCTAGGCAAGTACGTCACAGGTGAGGCGAAGGAACTGATTAAAGGATTCATGCTCTTAGACGGTGAAGATGCCTATCGAAAGGCAAAAGAAATGTTGTTGAAGCGTTTTGGTGATTCATTTGCTGTTGCAGCTGCCTTTCGACAGAAGCTCGACACTTGGCCGCAAATATTTCCGAATGACGTACAGGGATTAAGAAATTACGCGGACTTTCTAGTTCAGTGCGAGAAAGCGATGGAAAAGATTAGTTGCCTGAAGGTCCTGGATGATGATCAAGAAAATCACAAGTTAGCATCTAAGTTACCAAGATGGACATTGGTCAGATGGGGAAGACGAGTCTACGATTGGGAAGAAAAGAACCACAATTTCCCCCTGTTCTCCGAGTTCGTAAAATATCTTGTGACCGAGTCCAATATAGCTTGCGATCCAGTTATCAGCCGTTTTAGGAAGACGACTCTAAGAAAGCGAAGGGTCAACCGTACGAAATACCGAATCGCAGGAATTGTCCGAATCGAGATGAATTTCGCAGTCGAAACACTCGCAACACGATCAGAAGAAGGAGATCAGGGCAAGGAAAGACCTAACGGTGAAGCAAAGCAAACCACCTGCATACTGTGTAATGGACCTCATGAACTGAACTCGTGTCAGTCGTTTTGCGCAAAGGATATAATAGATAGAAAGGAATATGCGAAAGAAAAGGGTCTTTGCTTTGGCTGCTTAACGCAAGGACACATATCTAAACACTGCAAAAAAAGAAAAACTTGTACAACGTGCAAGAAGTCGCATCCAACATCCCTCCATGGAGATCTTAGGAAACCCGAAAACAATCAGAATTCCCAATCCCCTGAAAATCCCGCTACGACCAACTGCACAAAGACTTGTTTTATGATCGACGGTAACGAGCATCAAATCAGTTCGATGATCATACCTGTGTGGATTAGTCATGAGCACAATCCCGAGTTAGAGAAACTTACCTACGCGCTGCTGGATGATCAGTCTGATACAACCTTTGTTTCGCAGGAAACATTAAACCATCTTAACGTCAGTGGACCGAAGACACAGCTATCCTTGTCGACTATGCACGCGGAGAATGAATTGCTACCCAGTCAAAGGATCAAGGGACTAAAAATCAGTGATGTCATGCATAGCAAGGTTATTCAACTTCCCACAAGTTTTTCCTGCATCGCAATACCAGCAAGACGTCAACAAATCCCCTGTCCCGAAATGGCTAAGAAGTGGCCCCATCTCAGAGACATTGCCTCACATCTAATACATCCTCAGAACAATATCAAAGTAGGACTTTTGATTGGTTCGAACTGTCCTCAAGCAATAATGCTGCGTGAAGTTATTCCCGGTCAGCAAAATGAACCCTATGCACAAAGATCTGATTTGGGCTGGGGAATAATCGGCAATGTTACCAAGCCCACCGAAAACAACGATGAAAGTTCAGTAGCCATCGTTCACCGAGTAACTACGCGTAACCCCACAAGCACCAACACGCCACAGCAGAAGACTTGTTATTTTGCCATTAAGCCAACTGTGAAGGAAGTTATTAATCCTGCTCAGTTGTGCCAAATGTTAGAGTTGGACTTTTCCGAAAGAAGAAATTCTGAGCCATCAATGTCACAGGACGATAGGAAATTCCTATCTAAGATGGATCAAGGTGCGTATCAAGAAGAAGGTGGCCATTACGTTATGCCCCTACCATCTTGTGAGCTAGTACCAAAGATTCCCAACAACAAGTCGCTTGCCTTACACCGACTGTCGAAACTACGAATTTGCTTGGAGAAGAACGAGAAATATCAGAAAGATTACAGCCGCTTCATGAATGACCTCATTGAGAAAAACCATGCTGAGAGAGTTCCTGAAAAGGAGCTGGAAAATGAGGATGGCAGCACATGGTATATTCCACATCATGGGGTATACCACCCGCGAAAGCCAGACAAGATACGCGTCGTCTTTGACTGCAGCACAGACTACAAGGGTGAAGCCATTAACCGCCATCTATTACAAGGGCCCGATCTCACAAATCAACTCGTAAGTGTTCTGTGCCGGTTCAGACAAGATCCTGTTGCACTTACTTGCGACGTCGAGTCGATGTTTCATCAATTCAAGGTTATCGAAGCACACAAACTTCCTACGATTTCTTTGGTTCGAGGACGGCGACATAACGAAGAACCCGGTGGAGTACAGAATGACCGTACACCTTTTCGGCGCAGCATCTTCGCCAGGTTGCGCAAATTACAGCTTTAAGAAAATCGCAACAGACCATGAGAGAGAGTTTTGATCGGAGGCAGCAAACTTTATTAAGGACAACTTTTATGTCGACGATGGCCTAAAGTCTGTCAATACAGCCGAACATGCGATTTCTTTGATTCAGAAAACGAAAGAACTGTGTGCAAAGGGTGGCTTACGACTCCATAAATTTGCCTCTAATTCGAAATCATCGCAGCAATCCCACCCGATGATCGATCGTGTCAGTTGAAGAACCTCAATCTCGGAAGCGACCGCCTACCGATAGAAAGAGCTCTGGGAGTGCAATGGTGTATCGAGTCCGACGCCTTCCAATTGCAAATAACAGTGCAAGACAGCCCATTGAGAAGACGTGGCATTCTTTCTACCGTCAGTTCAGTATACGACCCACTTGGTCTTGTGTCACCCGTTGTGCTCATAGCCAAGCAAATTCTTCAAGAGCTATGTCGAGACGGAGCCGACTGGGACGACCCAATTCCAGATTCAATCAAGGTTAGATGGGAAAGATGGAGAAGAGAACTTTTCCTACTCAACGACGTAAAAGTACAGACAAGTTTCAGACCCGAAGGCTTCGAACAACTGAAATCCGTAGAGCTTCATCACTTCTCCAATGCTAGTACGTCAGGATACGGACAATGTTCCTACGTACGCTTGTTGAACCACGACGGCGAAGTTCACTGTGCACTCGCAATGGGAAAGTCACATGTATCTCCCCTAAAGAACGTCACGATTCCACGTTTAGAGTTAACCGCAGCATTAGTTTCTGTCAGAGTAAGCACCATGCTACACCGTGAACTTGACTATGATAAGATTCTTGACATCTATTGGACCGATAGTAAAGTTGTACTTGGCTACATTGGTAATGATGCTCGAAGATTTCACGTTTACGTTGCGAATCGCGTACAACAAATTCGAGATGAGACCTCTCCAGAGCAGTGGAAATACGTTGAAAGCAAAGAAAATCCGGCCGACGACGCATCGAGGGGATTAACAGCTCGCGAGTTTCTCAATAGTGAACGCTGGCTTTCAGGACCTCCATTCCTATGGAACCGTAATCTCGACTTGGCCGCTGATGATCATCAACCACTTCCTAGTAACGATCCCGAAGTGAAGACAAATGTTTTCATCACCCAAGTAACATCCAGAAGCTTCTCAACAATTCCCGAGCGTCTCGAGTACTTTTCGGATTGGCATCGTGCCAAAAGAGCCGTAGCCGTAATCGTAAGATTTCAACGACGATGGAAGAAATCTCACTTGCAACCCTATGAAGCTTCCATGAGCTCCACAACCGAATATCAAGGACCGAACGTCGAAGAGCTTCTTCAAGCCGAAGTTGCAATCGTGAAGCAAGTACAAGAACAAGCGTTCTGAAGGGAAATCCAAATGTTGTGTTCAATGCAGAAACCTGATTCTGGTCAAGACGACGTGCGAAGACGTAAAGCAGTCATGAAGAAAACCAGTTCGCTTTATCGCTTGGATCCATTTCTCGACAAGGAGGGCGTCCTTCGAGTCGGTGGGTGCCTCACTCGTGCAAACACCCCCTACCATGTTAAACATCCAACCATCTTACCACGAAAGGGACACATTACTGCATTAGTGATCAGGGCCTATCATCAACAGGTTAACCACCAAGGACGCGGAATGATGCTGAATGAGCTTCGTGCGAGCGGGTATTGGATAACTGGTGGAAGTTCCGCTGTTGCTCATCATATTTCCGAGTGCGTTCCATGCCAGAAACTCCGCGGTTCCACCCAAGAACAGAAAATGGCCGATCTACCTCCATCACCCCCCTGGCCATCACCCCCCTTTACACACTGCGGGGTCGATTACTTTGGGCTGTGGCTTATTCAAGAAGGACGACGCGAACTCAAACGGTATCGTGTCCTATTTACTTGCCTTGCATCACGTGCAATACACCTCGAAGTAGCGAAGAGCCTAGAAACTGACTCATTCATTAATGCATTACGTCGTTTCCTGGCGAGACATGGTCCGATAAGAGTGCTACGATCCGATCAAGGTACGAACCTCGTAGGAGCGTGTTACAAACTTACAGAAGCCTTTGAAGGAAATCAATAGAGAAAACGTGCGAGATTTCCTGCTAAAAAACGAGTGCGACTGGATCGAATTCCAACCAAACGTTCCAGCCGCTAGTCATGTGGGAGGATTGTGGGAACGTCAAATAAGGACTGTTCGTAACATCCTCGACACCATACTAAATCAGTCTGGAACACAATTGAACGAGGAGTCACTCCACACCTTCATGTGTGAAACGGAAGCTATAGTTAACAGCCGACCATTGACCATCAACAACCTAACTTCACTGAACGAAGGCGAACCACTCACCACAAACCACTTGCTTACGATGAAATCTTGTGTTCTCTTACCACCACCTGGAGAATTTCAGAAGGAGGACATGTACCTAGTGAAACGCTGGCGAAGAGTGCAATATTTGGTAAATCAGTTCTGGTCGCATTGGCGAAAGGAATTTCTGTATTCACTACAACAGAGGCAGAAGTGGGTACGCCCTCGGCGAAATATGCAACCAGAAGATATTGTGTTAATGTCCGAAGGTAACATGCCAAGAAATTGTTGGCGTATGGCCCGCATAGAAGAAGCTTATACTGATGAGGACAGATTTGTGCGAAAGGTGAAGCTGGTTATGAGTGATCCTTCACTGAATCGAAAGGGAGAGCGCGTTCGTGCCAAAAGCGTGTTGGAACGACCAATCCAGAAGTTGCTACTACTATTAAAATGTGATGGTGATCAAAATGAAAATGAAGATAAACGATTCCCCAACGGAGAGCCTAACTGAACGATATATTTTAACCTTTAAAAAGGCTTTAGCATTTAAGTTATATAGTAAATTGTTTGACTGAACCAATTTAAATGAGTCATGTAACTGTGGGCTCATTTCATAATTTAGAACCCAGACTCTGCATGGACAGTTTTGGCGTGAAACTAATTCATTATATGCGAACGTTCATAGAGTTTACAGTTAACTTTAGAGACTTGCGATTTTTTGATATTCTATTTCACATCTGTGTGTATTTATAGTAGACGTAATTCGTTTTACGTCAGGTGATTCAAGTTTAATATAAAAAAAAACGAAACGTTGCGTTACTTGTCAGTTCAAAATATAAACGAATTAATCCTGACAATTGCGTATAATACATGCAGATTGCGAACGTCAGGAGCTACAGCAATAACATTATATTCTAGAGGTGGTATTTGATGTTTCTGTACTTGTGGTTTTGAAAGGCATTTGAGAATGTTTAGGTCTTTAGACAGAGCTGCCACGTTCAGATGATCAAAAACCTGGAGGTTGCTGGGGCCTTTAGTTTGTAGATCGTACCCCCCCCCCCCTAGCACAGACACTATTTAATACTGAAAAATTTTGATCAAATTATGTATAAATTTTGACTTTATATTATTGTTGGCAGGGCATGCTCAGGGGGAACAAGATTGCCATATATGCATGTGTAATAAAAAATAAGCCCGCACACACACATAATTCACGTTTAGATTATGTTATACACCCACGCTACCAATTTTTTTAACAAGAGTGTCCTTTTACAAATACATACGGATTTTTATTCGAAAAAACAGACGATATTTTCACAAATTGTATGTTTTTTCAGAGCATAGATGCAGAATCCATGCATAAAGGACCATTTTAATGGTTTCCGTGAGATTTTCAACACCAACCGTGAGACCTGGAGGTCAGCGGGAAAACCTGGAGACTCGCGGGTAAACCGTGAGACTTGGCAGCTCTGCTTTAGATGTGTGACCCAATCACCCACTTTCACAGTCAGCAAGGCAGCAAATGCTGCACTTAATTGTTTCTGAAGCAAAATGCTAAATTTAAAACATGTAGTATAGTGCCCTGCATGGCAGTTTATAATCAATGGCAATATAATCTATATAACAGACGCTGCCAATCCTGCCATATACATATGGTTATCTTATAGTTTGTGGGAATTGACGGTGTAGGTATCAGGTACGTAAACAATGATTTTGATTATAGGACCTGGATATATTTTGTCGATCTGTATTAAATATGCATGTACATTTTGTCATTCTGTATTAAATATGTTATGCTATCACTATAAATAAAAGTACTCAAAATACTTTTATCTATAGTAATAGCATAATAGAGAGTATTTTAAAGATTCAATAATTATCCAACAATTAAAGACAGTAATTTTAACTAGAAAATTTTTAATTGTAATGTCACAAATCTGCTTTTTGGCTGCAATGTATTACTAATAAAGCCATCTATCTATCTATGCTAAAATTTTTTCTTCAGCTTTATTTATAATTTTTGTGGCAGTTTACAACATTTCACCTTGGCCATATTTATATAATTGTTACAATGTTTAGTTGCTACAGCAATGATGGTTCATTTAATTTATAACTATTAATTATTCTCTAAAAACATTGGAATCATGTAATCAAATAATCTCTAAATAATATATTTTGTATCTTTCCCTGGTGAAGTCGAAGCGCAGCTATGCCACACAAGTTTGGTCGCCTACTCACAACAGACAACTCAGTGAAAGGATTGAAAGAGTACAAAGAAGAGCCACGAAATGGATTCTAAGAACCGGGACTTGTGAAATGCCATACAAGCAATGCCTGTTGAAGTTGTAACCCTTACCACTCTCCTACGATAGAGAGATGAAAGATCTCGTATTATTCTTCAAGTCGTTGCATGGTTATGTCAATCTTAACATTAACAATGTTCTACGCTCATTATATGATATTGAACTATCCTGTACTTGGTCCTTGGTGTGTGACTGTCCCTGTCATAGAGAACAGCGGAAATAAATGTGTTTAATAGTCTATCTTTAAACGTGTGTGTGTTATCTGTGAGCGTGCATACGTGTACTATCTGTATATAACTGTACATATAATGATATAATTGGATGCCAGCAGGTGCCTTGCATGGGAACTTATCAAAGAGTCCCGTTCATACCTTGCCTTTTTGGATTTAACTTTAAAATGTTTGCATTTTTACTACTATTTGCATGTTTGTATATACATTGATCCAAATAAATTTGTTAAACATATATATAATAATGTTCAACGTGAATTTCTTATTGCAACCATGATGAATAGCTCGTACTAATAGCCTCCTGTTATTTGTGGTGCAATGATTTAGGGTGCCACTGATGCTTGACACTTATTTTAATTTAACAGAATATTTTCAGTTATTGTGTTCTCAGTACTCTCTAGCCTGAAACAGCTGCATATTAAAACTATGTGTCTGAATTAATTCGTTGAAAACCTTGTCCAGTGACTTCAATTTTGTATGTTAATTAGAATGTATATTAGTATGTTAATTTGATATATCATGGAGGCAATCAATCACTTGAAATATGACCTCTCAATCTTATCTACATAAAAGAAATTATATCAAATGTCTTGTGTGCCGTTCAACTCTTGCCAATTCAGGTAATCGCTGTAGTGTAGGTGGCAAGGGAAAGGTTGATCATTGTTTAGTTCTCAATTCGGTGAATATACCTTTCGAAGTAGGACAAGATTATCTATGAAAAACCTGCCACAGGAAGATCGAGAGACATTGGAAGTTACTGCGACAACTACACACAAGCAATAATGAACTGTGTGAACATTTAATGGCAAATTATCTACAGCGTCAGCATCGAATATAAACTCTAAAAAAGAAGCCGATTTGATCATTATGACTCGGATAAAGCGATCACCAACAAAAACAACAATGTTTCTTGCAATGTATTAAACGGTTTGAAGAAAATCTGCTTGGAATATATGAATGAACCATGTCAGTTGTTTGTCGACAACATCCAGGACAACACCAATTAACAGCACTCCAAAAAAAAAAAATAATTCTTCAACACAACCAAAGACCGCAGAAGTGAAGGTAAGATTTTGTATATTAAATTTGAACACAATATTTGGCAAGAAGTATATTGAAATAGTTGCATATTTCTGTAGCTGTATAAACCATGTCTGCATGATCTGGTTTGATACAAATACAATGTACATAGCGAAAATATCCCTTTAAATGCCCAATGATTATGGCGTGCCAAACCGGACAATATTACTTTGTGGAATTATTGATACTAGTTCTTGTTAAATAATGTTTGTTACGTGTTTATAATGTTTGATATTAAATACTTGTATGATATATACAACTTTTGTTTTGAAATATACAACTTATTCCTGTTTATATACAACTTGTTCGACTGATATACAGCTTGTTCGAAATATACAACTTGTTCGAAATATACAACTTGTTCGAAATATACAACTTGTTCGAAATATGCAACTTGTTTGAAATATACAACTTGTTCGAAATATACGACTTGTTCGAAATATACAACTGGTTCGAAATATACAACTTGTTCGAAATATACAACTTGTTTGAAATATACAACTTGTTCGAAATATACAACTTGTTCGAAATGTACAACTTGTTCGAAATATACAACTTCAAAATAACACGACTTTTACAAGCCGAAAGCCAATGTGGATAAGTGAGGGATAATTGGGTAAAGTAGGTGTAATGTTGTCCTAGCTCTGGTCGTCTAGTTCGTCCATGAGTACGTCATGTTAGAGCAGTAAAGATCACTCACTGAGCCAGTTTTTTCGACTCCCAAAAAAAATAATTTCCTCCATAACCCGAAATTTTTTTTTTCCCGAATTGTTCCACAAAATTTCCTTCCAAAAATTTCCTTCCAAAAATTTCCTTCCAAAAATTTCCTTCCAAAATTTTTATCAAAATTGACAGATTTACCTGGTAATTAACATCAAAACTCTAGTATTGAAACACATTATATTAATTTATAGCAGATAACTATGTATTTTGCAGGTTAAAATCAACTCATCTTCGCCCCGGGCGGACAAAAAGCAACTGTTTCTTGCATCTCTCCCCTGGACACTATGCACAAGAAAGCCCTATGGTCTTTCCTGCCCACGCTAAGCAGAGAAATAATACCCTGGGTACGAGGTTGGGTTGATATTTTAATATAGGGATTCTGGGGTCCTCTCCTAGATACTCCAGGACTGCATTTACGGCATTTTTTGCACAAAATTGTGTGAAAATTGCCTTATTCTTTGAAATTATGAGATAAAATAGAATTTCCTTCTCATTTCCCTCCTTATAACAATATTTCCTCCCAATTTCCTTCCAAATGCTATTTCCTTCCAAATTTCCTTCCAAAGGCCCCAATTTCCTTTCAAGTGGAAACACTGCACTGAGCCCCCAGGTGGATTTGTGCGCTATTAATATTTATATATCATCATGGCTGATCAACTTCTAAACAATTTAATAACAGCTGTTAATAACCTGAGAGACAATGCGGATGAAAACAACACAAATCCAAGTGTTTCTCAAAGACAACAACAAGCAGCAACAAATTCAGAGACTACAAGTCAAGCTTTACGTCGACTTTATCCAAGTATCGACCAACTGCCAGTTCCGAATCCAGGACACATGTCGAGTTACTCAAGTGGGACATCGACTCAACAAGGCCAACAAGCTGGTCGTTCATCTGTGAATGATTTGACAAGATTTAACCCAAGGGCTAACTATCGTCCTAACAAGAGAAAAAATCTGATTCGCCATAATAAAAGGCAGAAATGCGAAAATAGTCGGTCATCAAAGTCTACATTTAAGGATGTTATTTTGCTTCCGAGTCCGTCGAACAATATCGTACCTCGTGGCAAAGTAAGAGAGAAATTATACACGGAAGGCTTAGCCAAATCAGCTGAGGAAATTTCGGATGACATGAGCGAACAAACTATCAGAGAAAAGTTTTCCATGATATTCCAAAGTTGACTGGATGGTCTGCCAGAACCAAAGTTTGACTTTGTCCGCGCAATTGGAAACAAAATAATACCAGTCAGTTCAGCTGGTCCATTTAATGGAAAATTGCTTAAGTATTTAGCTAGACAAGGACCAATTTACATACGAGCACGGGCTGATGTTGAAAGAAATTGGAGGATATGGTTCAAGGAATTAACTGAAGAAAACCAGACTAAGGTCTCGACTTCTGATGAGTCAGAAGACGGTGAGTTGCCATGTGCATTTGACACTGACAATGAATGCGACACTGCCAACGATAATGCTACAATAGTCTGCAAGTCACAACCCATTGTTGTTGATGACAGCCCAGCCGGTACCAGTAGCAGTTCAGAGTCACCCCTACCAGCCACTCCTCTCGTATGTTGCCCAACATGCAGCAACTTTTTTCCACCTGACACCATAGCCCAACATGCAGATTTATGTGCTGATGAAGTGATTGGCACACACCAGCAACAAGGCGTCGATATGTAGACCTACTGGGAGATGATGACATGAATCAAATATTTGAAAACTTTGGCAATGCAGATGAAATAGTTGAGGATGATGGTAATCCACCATCCATGGATGCAGATGCAAGCAATGTCAAAGCGAAACTATCAGCAGTTCTTACAGATTTGAGAGAAAATATGAGTAACACTGAAAACCGTTTACACATACGACGCAAAAAGCTTTGGGATGACCTCCTTGATGCACGAAAGTCTTCTAAGTGGTTCAAACCAGATGGTGTATTGAGAATTGTGTTCATTGGTGAGCCAGCAGTGGATGGGGGAGGCCCTAAAAGAGAATTTCTTACTGGTAAGTTGAGAGATGTGGTTATTGCATTTATATTTGAGAATGGGAGACATTGTTTTATCAACATAGCAATACCACTAATTAAGAAGCTATTACCATAGTTATCAATATTATTCCACTCCAGGCCAGGATGACATAGGAGTGCCAGACAGTGAGTCTCATTTGTTACTCAAAAATTATTACTACATGGTTTGTACTTCTCAAATGAATATATCTGAAATGTTTGGAAAACCCTGGCCGCAGTAAATTAAAAACCTCATTTGCCAGATATCTATAATTGTTATCTGATCATAATAATTGCCTCCCCTGCAGGCAACTCAGTGGCAATTAAACAGCAAAATTATGCCAAATTTATAACGGGGTTCAATGATAATTTGCACAAGTAAGAACTAGAATTACTTTCCCTGCTAGTCCATAGTACAATTGCATGTCTGCCAAGTATTGTGAAATCCTGCTGTTTCCTGCATAGGAGGGTGTCATAATAACACCGTATGAAAGAAATTTGTCATGATACTTTAGTAACAAGTTAACAACAGATTGTAATACCTGACAAAAATAACAATGCATGCAAATTTGCAATTTTTCTTTATACAGGTCGATTTATATCAAATCATGTATTGAACCCAAAATCCCAATGATTAAAGAGCTTGAACAAGGATTGGCTCTTTATGGTTTGCTGAACACAGTACGACAACAGCCAGGGTTGTTTGAAGCTGTATTTCTTGAGAGCAGTCAATTTGATATTACTTTGGATGACCTTCTGGATTCTCTGGAAGTTAAATACAGCCAATCTCAGTTACTTAAAGAAAAAGAAGATGTGTTTAAATATTTTTCAGACATGGTGCAAAACATAGCGCACTTGGGTGAGTGCTAGTGTTCCGGGATATTTGTCCCCCAGACCATATTTCCTAAAACCGTTGCCGTCCCCGTCCCCCCACCCTCCCCTCCCCATGTGTTTGGTCTTGAAAACTTCTTGATGTAACAATATTAGTGTTGTGGCTTTTGCTTTTAGTAATATTTATGCTTTCCACCCTATGCCCGACATAACAATCCTAAACGTAGCGAAGCTTGAGTGTTGCATTGATTGAGCTCTGTTTACTGGGCTGCACGGTAGACAGTATAATAAATCTGACACATGATTGGGTTAATTTGGCTTGGGGGTTAACAATCCCGCAGCCGCTTTATTTTAAATTTTCATAACAGAAATTAATTAATTATATATAAATATATATTGCACATGAAAGATGTGCTCAAACAGTTTTGCCCAGGAAAGGTGAGGGCAAGATTATGCCAAAGCATCTTACTCTACTAAGATGCACCCCACCCCAGGCAATGCAAGACTCAAGTCTCCATCCGCTATTCGTCATATGAAGATAAAGTGAGACACAATGAATCACAGACGCCCCTGCAAGCTGTGAATTGCGATGTGTCAGTGCGCAAGAATATAGTAAATGTAGGTTCTAACAGTAGCATGTAGTAAAATACCAAATAACTAATATGAAAATAATTCTATACAACAGCCGCCCGTGCTAACTGTTGTTAAGAAACTCCTGTTAATCTACAAGCCTGGAAAAATGAAGCCAGCGGCCCTTGCACACTGGTAAACTATGTAATAATATACAACCGCAACAACAAGTACCAGCCCCTGCTTGGTACCAATTATCACCTGCATGTTGTAAAGTAACCAAATACTAAATAAATGAAACCACAACAAGCAACAACCAGTACCAGCCCCTGCGTGGTACCAATTGTCGCCTGTTGACAGCTGCATCTTACGGTAATTAGAGAAGGCCTTACCCCAAGACTCCCCGCTAGTCTTGTAGATAGGACATAATTATACAAATAATATTAGAAGTGAAAGTTAGGTGGAGAGCGATGAAACCCTGATGTATTTCTGAAAAGCATTAGACTTCCATCGCCCTAATGTGCGGATTTGTGCAACCGACATCCCCTTTTCTGCAGCATAAGAAGCAGCCCCAATTCGGAAACTGTGAGATTTATAGCGAGTTGGATTTAGACCGCAAAATTTTATTGCTTCAGACAGCCGTGCAGCGAAAACTTTCCTGGTGACTGCGTTGCCCTGTTGTGTGATAAAAATTGCTCCAGGTTGATTACCACGCAATGCTAGGTAGTCGAGAAGGAGAGCAATAGGGCAACACGAATGCTGGCGTTGTAGCGACAAGGTGAATGGACGTTGATTATAATGGTGTTTAAAATCCAAAAAGGTCAAAGTAAACCCAACCACGTGTTTACTAGAGCCATAAACGTAAGAGATTTGATGCAATTGTAGGGGTTGACAACCAGCATTCGTCATTGCCGTAATTTCACCGATACGCAAAAAGCCAAAAAATGCCAAGGAACACATGGCTTCAAATTGGCATACTTGATAACGTGAACCTTGAATATTAGGAGCAGCGTTAAGTAACATTTCTAAAATGGGCAATGTAATAGGCAAACGACTGTCTAAATGTGCGCCATTTTTCGCGTATCCCTTTAACAACTGAATAATGTAGAAAACCCGAGTTGGGTCGGGCAACCCAGATAGCTTATGAGAGTAGCCAATGGCGGATACATATGTATTGACAGTAGACGGAGCGTAATTGCGATCAAATAAGTAAGCAATGAAAAGTGCTAATGTGGTTGGAAAAATAGGCATTGTGAAGTGGGCTGTCTGGTATATGCTGCTGTGAAATTGAGTGAATAATTTCCATGCCCGTGTATAAGTAGGAATGGAAGATTTTTGCAAGCTAGACTGTGCCAAGTGTGTAATTATACTTGCCAACTTTGAGGCTGCAGATGAAGGGGAATGTCTGTTGGAAGCCTGTTCATGTTGGCCGGTGCTAACTGGTGAAAGGTGGACACCTGAAAGCGAGATAAAGAATCCGCCAATTTATTAGAAATTCCGGCGATATGTTTTGCTTTGAATACAATATTGTTTTGTAAGCAAACTAGCACCATTTTGCGCACAAAACACATCAAAGATTTGTCGCGACATGATTTTTTGTTGATAACATGAACTAATGCTTCATTATCAGTAAAAAATAAAATAGATTGGTTGCACATATGGTGACCCCACAGGCAAAGGCTCAGGACAATTGGACAGAATTCCAAAATAGCAATGTTGCCGATGGCTCAATTGCTTAACTAGAGACATATTGTCAGATGTTTCTGGTTAACCCATCAAGCTGCAGAGCTTCCCATTGATGAGTAAAATTGTCCGGCGTTAGACAAGTAAAAAAGTAAGGGCGCGCTGGGGCTCAATGGGTTAATCAACAAGATTGACATAGTTTCAGACAATAACTAGCATATTTATTCTACCTTGCAGAAATCCCTGAGGTCACCTTAAAGGATTTCCTGAAGTTTGTAACTGGTACGAATCAAATACCTCCATTAGGCTTTCCAAAAAATATATCAGTGGGGTTTCAGCATGGATGTCTCCCTTCTTGCAAATGCAGACCAAAAGCTTCGACATGTTCACTTACCTTGACTTTACCAATCCATGCTGATAGTTCTGCTGCAATGCAAGAGTTGCTCATATCTGCCTTGACTGAGTGTTATGGATTTGGATATGTATTTTCTAATACAGTTAAGTTAGTTAATTATTATAATGTTGCTGCCTAATTATATTCAAAAGCAGCTGGTTTAAGTTGACATTATTTCAGTTTATATCGTAGTTGATACTATAATGCATTACATACTGTTCCAAGAGAAATTAGACTATGCAACAATAATGTACCTGTGCAAGACATTAGTGTGCTGAGTTAAGGCATGCAGTGATGAAATAATTAGAAAAACACAAAGAAATGTAGCAACTGCCCAGATATTTGAACAAAGTTGTTATGGGCCTAATCAGTCATAATATTACAACTCTAGTCAAAGACTTTGGCAGTTACTCTACTCCTTTTCTTCTGATTTGTGTCTGCATGAACAAATGCTTAATGCCACAATTATTATACAGACTGTATAATATATTATTATATTCCATATTGAAGTTAGCCTGAATCGATCCCCAAAGCTCATACATAGTCTTGCTTTGTGTTTGAAATGTGATGGAATCAAATAATCAACTATCTTCATCCTGCATTGATGAATTTAGAACTTATGCCAACAATCGTAATTGTCCAACTATCCGAAAGTACGTCTAATAAGTATTTTTAAAATATGAACACAGAAGACAATGTAATGAACATTGAGAACACACTTAATAACATCTAGTAAGTTTGTACGTTAATATTGCACACATTCTTACTTGTGTTCAATGCCAAGGCAGATGCACTGTTTTGCAACTTTAATTTGATTATAATAAAGTTTGACAAACAATATTAGTATTATGTATGTAAGTGACTGCAGGATAAAAATGGTTGATTACAAGACTGTGAATTGGGCTTTTGAGATTCCACACCAACTTATGCCCTGTGTTTCAACAAGAGATTTGCTGTAAATGAATTATGGGGGCATTTTACCCCTACATTTCCTATATACAGTAAGCCCTGTGTATTATAACAGATGCCATTGACAGCATATTAATGTCTTTTGATTACATGTAATTATTTGTGTTAATGTTTAATATTATTGCCTTAATAAAATGTTCCTTACATTCCTGTTAATTTCTTCATATAAACATATTCCATGGTTGCCATCATCCGCTAAAGGATTAACCACATTAACTAAAACATTGTAGTCATTATCTGAAAGCTCAACAGTTGACCTTGGTACCTGGACATCATTCCGTGTTTGGAGTTCAGGCAATGGCCCATCATCATCAATGCCATAAAGGAAGAAGTTGGCATTGTCTGGATCTATCAGTTCCTGTACCGTTGTGTAATCAGAGTTTGTAGCCTGATAAAATCCTTCGGTCCACTTTTGCAACGGGGTACGATTTCCTTCACTCGACAATGGGTGGTTGTTCCATTGGCTCACAAAATGATCCAATGCCATATTAATGCGAGGTAGGTAGGTAAAGTGCAATGCATACATATTAATCTCATCATTTGGATCAAGTAAATGTATGGACTCGAGGTAAAAGAAGAGATTTCTGTAGTATGATAATACAAATGAAAACACCTCACGCCATAAGCGTTCTGTTCTTTGATTATGCACAGACTGGCCTGTAATCACCGGGTTTGCAGATGGACCATATAGTCTGGTGGCACTATCCTGGAATAGCCTTATTTTTCACGTTCGATGGACATTTAGAGTAGAAGTGGGAAACAGGGCTTAAAATGACCATGTTGTGATTCTTTTTAAGAATATCGCTGTTTCCAGCTTCAAATATGGTTGCTAAGTGCGTTAAGGGGGCTTTAATTCGGACATGTGTTTGTTCAACATGAAAACGAGGCTGAGTTGAAAAAAACGTTTTAAAAGCCATAAAAAGTTTCTTGGGCTGTCTAAATGTCTTTACGACTATTTAGTGTATGAATGTACTTAACATCTACCCAAATCAAAGCTACAAATTTGTCACGTGATCTGGCAGATTGATCACGTGACTGTCGAAAATTTGATTAATAACTTACTTTACAGTGCTATTTTTAATGTAATGGAAACAAATCGCGCCTTGTAATACTACTATATGACTAACAAAAAAATTCGAATACACAAATTCGTAAAATTTATAATTTGCAGACATTTTTTCGTTTTGGAATTAAATTCGCTTGCGTATATAATTAACTTTTTGCAACATTAAGTGGCGCCGGTCTGTCGTCGTAAACAACACAAATCCTTACAGCGATTCTGCAGTTGGAAGTATATTAATAAATCAAGTTAAAATATGGAAGCTGGTGTATAAATTTTAACAAAACGTAGAGATTGTTAAGCTTATTAAATGGAAGCGATTGCATCGCTTGCCGCAGCTACAGGCACAGCCAGAACTTCACCATCGCCGGCTTGTTCGTGCCATGTTTACTGGAAGAGATGTTTTATTTGTCAAAGTATAAAGCGTCCGGCAAAGAAATTTCCCCTTTCTCAGGCTTCTGCTGAAGGTATAGAACGTGTTGTAGAGTGTGCAACTATCCGAGAAAAATGCAATGATCTTTCTTTCCAAGACACCATAGATAGATTAAAAAACGTGAATTTGAGTGAAAGCGACAAACAAATACTTTGGCACCGAAGTTGTTACAGTAGCTTTACAAATAAAGAACACATCCAGCGTCTTCAGAAGCGTGTAACTGTAAGACAAACGCAAGATACCGAATTTGGCGAAGCACACTCAGAAGAATCGCAACATCAACCTAGTCTGAGAAGGTCTCTCGTCGATCGAATGGATTGGTCCAAGTGTATGTTTTGCCAAAACATTGTTAAAGGCCTAAAGTTAAACCAAGTTCAAACATTTGAAACATCACAAAAAATATTAGAAAAGGCTGCCTTAAATCCGGTGATGAGTCGCAGGTTAGCAAGTACAAATGATTTGATTGCCGATGAAGGGAAATATCATTAAAATGCTACGCCATGTTTCAAAGAACAACTGCTCAACAGCAGCCTAAACAACAAGAAAAAGAAAGCTGCTTTATCTTTGAGGAAGTTATGTCTGTACTTCAATCTGGGATCTCGAAGGGTAATGTATATTCTTTGAAATCTGTTTGGACATATTTTTGCAGAAGATATCATTCAGCGTATGGTGTTGAACCAGAAACTTTCAAAAGTGACAGGTTTAGGACCAGAATAAAGGATTGTCTTGGAGATAAAGTAGTTTTTATTCAGCCGCTAAACCCTTCTGAATCGCTTCTCATAATATCCGCTGATTTAGGAGAAGCAGCACTACAGTCTTTGCTTCAGGAAAATCAGGAAAACGATGCAAACTATGAACAAGGTGATCTTGGTGCCGATGGTTTAAAAGACGTAGACCTCGACACGGAGTTGCTAAGCTGGCTTTTCCGTGTAGCCATAAAAGTTCGTCATGATATTAAAGTTACACCTGGTCAAGAATCTATAGGTACTATAGATATGCAAAGTGCTGAAGAAGTTGTCCCAGATACTTTGTATATGCTGATTCGCATGTTGTGTGCTGGAGAGGTCGATACAACAGATGAGAGCAACGATGAATTAAATATCGATTTAAAGACAAAGATCCTC